GGATTCTTGATTGAATTAAACCTAATGACCGAAGAGAAGGACATGGAATCTGGGAATTCGAAAATTCCTGACAGTTTAGTGCCCATTTGCACAAGTATCAGGGCACCTTCGAAATGCCGAACGGTCTGCCACCTCGGAGGGAAATTGAACACACCATCTTGTTAAAGGATGGTACTAATCCCATCAGCGTCCAGCTGTATCGGTACCCTTAGAGTCAGAAAAACCGAGATTGAGAACTTGTTTGGTGACATGTTAAAGGCGGGAGTCATACGACCCTCCACCAGCCCATACTCGAGCCTCGTATTACTGGTTAAGAAAAAAGATGGGTAGCGGTTCTGCGTTGACTACCGCGCGTTGAACAAAAGCACAATCCCTGATAAGTTCCTGATCCCTACTATTGATGAACTTCTTGATGAACTCCATGGTGCCAAGATATTTTCAAAACTGGACTTAAAATCTGGATATCACCAGATTAGGGTGAAGGATAGTGACATTCCTAAAACAGCCTTCCGCACTCACGAAGGCCATTACGAGTTTTTGGTGATGCCATTTGGGCTCACCAATGCTCCGGCGATTTTCCAAAGTTTAATGAACACTGTTTTCAGGCCGTATTTACGAAAGTTTACTCTGGTTATCTTTGATGATATGTTGGTTTACAGTAGGAATATTGATGAGCATTATGAGCATTTGTCACTGGTCTTTGAAGTTTTGCAGGAACATCAACTTTATGCCAACAAGAAGAAGTGTGATTTCGGGTAAGAAAGAGTTGCCTATTTAGGGCATGTTATCTCTGGGTAAGGTGTGGAAGTGGATTAGGAAAAAGTGCAGGCTATGCTTGGGTCAACCTCGGTGTTTGAAAGAGTTGAGGGGGTTTTTGGGGCTAACCGAATATTACAGGAAATTCATCCGAAACTACGCCCAAATCGCTCACCCACTCACGGATCAGTTGAAGAAGGACAATTTCGGGTGGAATGAGTCGGCTGCCACGGCTTTCCAGGCCCTAAAACAAGCCATGACTCAAGCCCCTATTCTAACCATGCCCAATTTTTCAAAAACATTCATTCTGGAAACGGACACCTGTGGTCACGGTGTTGGTGTCGTGCTCCTCCAACTTGGACACCCGATTGCTTACTTTAGCAAACTGTTGGGCAGCAGGGCACAAGGCAAGCCAGTCTACAAAAAGGAGTTGATGGCAATTGTTATGGCGGTTGAGAAGTGGCGCCATTACCTTCTGGGCAGGACCTTTGTGGTGCGAGCAGATCAGAAAAGTTTGAAGTTCCTGTTGGAACAACGGGAAGTGGGTCAGGCTTATCAGATTTGGGTGGGTAAATTGCTGGGCTATTCTTTTGAGATTCAGTATGAACTGGGAACCAGCAATGTTGTGGCTGATGCCTTGTCTCGAGAATTTGCCCCCGACATTTCTTGCTCCACCATGGTTTCAGCTTGTGGGTTCCAGTGGTCTCAAATTCAAGAGCTGGTACAAAAAGATGCTTTCATTGCCAAATTGATGCTTAATCTGCAGTAGGGGGTTCACATACCGAAGTGGTTCACTCTTAAGGGCAATATTCCGAAGTACAAAGGTCGGGTAGTAATTCCCAGACACTCCGAGTTCACCTCTGCTCTTATGCGTGAGTATCATGATTCCGTAATTGGTGGGCCGCATGCTGGAGAATATAAAATGTACCAACGGTTGGCCATCGAATGGTATTGGATTGGGATGCGAAAAAGATGTGATGGAATATGTGAAGGCCTGCACTATCTGCCAGAGGAACAAAGCCTCCACGGTCAGCCCTTTAGGCTTGCTTCAACCTCTTCCAATTCCGGATAAAGTTTGGGAAGACGTGTCAATGGACTTTATAGAAGGTCTTCCGAGGTCGGCTGGCTAGGATATGGTGTTGGTTGTGGTGGATAGGCTATCTAAATATGCCCACTTCATCCTCTTGAAGCACCCGTTCACAGCCCCTGTGGTTGCTCAGGTGTTTGTCAAGGAAATCGTGAGACTTCATGGCATACCAAACACGATCGTATCGGATAGGGACATAATATTTGTAAGTACATTTTGGAAGGAATTGTATAAATTTCAAGGAACACAGCTAGCTCGGAGCACCGCCTACCACCCTCAATCCGATGGACAAACCGAGGTGATTAACAAGGGGATTGAATCGTACTTGAGATGCTTTGTCAATGGAAATCCCAAGTCTTGGTCTTCTTGGATTCCTTGGGTGGAATATTTGTACAACACATCCTTTCACACCTCCACCTTCACACTCCATTTAAGGTGCTGTATGGCAGGGACCCCCCTCGTTTGGTGAGGTTCACTCCCGGTTCAACTGCTGTTTCGTCAGATGAGGAACAGTTGTTGGATCGTGATGCCACTTTGGATGATCTTAAGTTCCATCTCCTCAAGGCTCAAGAGTACATGAGGGATTATGAGAACAAGAAGCGGAGTGATGGGCGGTTTGAAGTTGGAGATTGGGTGTTCTTGAAATTGCAGCCATACCGCCAGTATTCAGTGGCTCGTAGAGGATATCTGAATCTTTCCCCTAGATTCTATGGGCCTTATAAGGTGGTGCAGCGTGTGGGAACTGTGGCTTACAAGCTAGAATTGCCGGCAGGGGCTAAGATTTATCCGGTCTTTTATACTTCACAGCTGAAGAATGCCCATGGACAACATTTTAATCCCACTCCCTTACCCTCCCAACTCACGACTGAGTTAATTTTGGAAGTGGAACCGAAGGCTGTGCTAGGGGTCAGGAACAGGCAACAAGGTACACATACTATAATGAAAGTGCTTATCAAGTGGAAGAATTTGGCTGACTTTGAGGCCACTTGGGAGTCTTATGCTGACCTTCATGACAGATTTCCAGCCTTCCACCTTAAGGACAAGGTGAAACTTGTCGCGGGGGGTATTGCAAGGAACGTAACTAGGCCTCCTATTACAACTACTTATGCAAGGCGCAAGCGTGGGAATATTTGAAGCAGCGTGGCTATTGCATTTCAGTTTTGCATTTCAAGTTTTGTTAAGGGCATTCTGTTATGATAATAAATTCTGTTATGAGGGCATATTAGTCTTTGTATAAAACATATATAATTCTGTTAGGAGGAATGCTTAGGTGTGCTTAGGCAGTTGCGTAATAAAGCTATTTAAGCTGTAATGAGGGTAATTAGCTGATCATCCAGAAAGTGTGTAGCTAATGTGGAGAGCACCCTCCTTTCAAAAGAAGGCCATTGTTGTGTTGTAAGGTTACACTGATTTTGCAATACAACCGTTAGCTGAACTAATTCTCTCTCTCTCTCTCTCTCCTCCCTATTTACCCTGTAATTTTGAAATTGATCCAATACCTAGCAAACCTCCACCATAAACACACACATTTTGAAACCAACACAAGCAACAGGGACTCAATATTCCTCAAAGAATAACAAATAACAAAAATTAAAAAGAGTTTAGAAACTGTTACTTAGAACACTCAGTCAGAGTTAATGCATTTAAGGTGATTGCCATCCTTGTTATCTTCTTTAGTAGGAGGGTCCGCTTTCCTGTCATCAACATCCGCTTTCCCATCATCAACATCATCTGAAATTTTAGCCCCCTTCCCCCTTAATCTCCGCAAAGTCGTCATAGAAACTCTGGGAGTTGAAGGATAGGGTTTCTTAGGCTTCGGTTTTTTTGGGGACTCTAAATCCTAACCAAGGTTAACCAGATCGCTTCCCTTTTTTCGCATCCTCCAAATTGTTAAGAACTTTCCCTAAAGCGGTATAAGAATACTCACTAAACACCTCACGTCGATGCCGAGAATGGTAGAAGTCTTTCGGCCATGGAGATTCGGCCTGAATTGACTCAATTATATTTCTAATTTGCTCGCTTTCATCCTCGTCATTAGTCCTATATAAGGCATCCGTTAGAGGATCCAAACAATCCATTAAGGTTTTGGGACTCAAGAAGCTCGACATCACTCAATCTGGAAATTAATGGCTATACAAGGTGGATAAGGGAGCAAATTTACCAGATCTATTGAAAATAAAAGCAAATTAGATCTGAGAGGAGGAAACGATTGAGTGCACAAAACAAAGAATATGAGGAGAGAGAAATAGATCACCATTGTTTAGTATGGTTGAGGTCGAAATTGAGGAGAGAGAGAATAGGGGAAGAAGATGAATGTTAAAGAACTAGGGTTAGAGGTTGAAGATCTGATGAGAATTAGATTTTTTGATGAAAGATGTTAGGTGAATTAAATAAAGTTGTTGGGGATGATTTAATTTTGGTGGAAATGATTAAATTAATGAATCTGGTTAATTTGTAATAACATATTATTAGCAACTTAGTTTCTGATTTATAATTTTAAGTGAGGATAGTTTTACAAGGTGGATAAGGGAGCAAATTCACCAGATCTATTGAAAATAAAAGCAAATTAGATATGAGAGGAGGAAACGATTGAGTGCACAAAACAATGAATATGAGGAGAGAGAAATAGATCGCCATTGTTTAGTGTGGTTGAGGTCGAAATTGAGGAGAGAGAGAATAGGGGAAGAAGATGAATGTTAAAGAACTAGGGTTAGAGGTTGAAGATCTGATGGGAATTAGATTTTTTGATGAAAGATGTTAGGTGAATTAAATAAAGTTGTTGGGGATGATTTAATTTTGGTGGAAATGATTAAATTAATGAATCTGGTTAATTTGTAATGACATATTATTAGCAACTTAGTTTCTGATTTATAATTTTAAGTGAGGATAGTTTTGTCATTTTATTAAAAAATATAACTAAATAAGGAAAGTTTTGAAAAGTTGTACGTAATGTGTAGCGTACAAAACAGCAAAAGTTGCACATAATACGTAAATTTTTTTTGGTGTTTAGAGAGCCACAAGGATGGGGGTGAGAATCGATCTCAGGATCTCTTGAAATCGGGAGGGAAGCTCTAACCACTTGAGTTATCTCTCACTCTCTCGAAGGTAGTATATGTAATATGTATGGATTGATTATGAACAGAGACGAACGTAAAAGGAAAGTATAAGGATTACAAAACAGAAGGAGTGAGTTTCTTGTTTTCCAAGCTCCTATTATTCCTCTCTTCGTCTCTCGTCTAGTACTTCTTTCTAGTTCCCTTTAGAAATTAAACTACATTTTGCGTCTCTACTTCATCCTACTCTACCAATATTTTCTCTCTCCTCTCTCCAAATCTTCACCTCATCCCTAATTTGTTTCTGGTGAGTAATTTAGCCGCTTAATTTCTTTTTCATCCTCAATTTCTCTTATTCATTGAGTATTGAGCCCAATTTTCGGAAAATTAGGGTTTCATACAGTGTAATTGAAATTGATTATTTTAGGTGATGGCGACTAACGAGGCTAAACCAGCTACTGAAGAAGCTAAGATGGATCTGTTTGAAGATGATGATGAATTCGAGGAGTTCGAAATTGATCTTGGTAATAATTTCGAAACAATTGTCTTCTTTATTTTATTTATTTTTTATTTTAAAATTATATCGTTGCTGTATTTTGATGCTATTGAATTGTGGACTATTTGATACAATCTAGCCAATTATTAATTTACTAGATTTTGATTTATGTTGATTTTTGTAAGTTATTGAATTTTAGGGTTTATGGCTGTTTCTTTGATCCTGGCTCAGTATATGCATGTTTCTTAATTTCAATTAGACGGAAAATCTCTGTTGACTCTGCGCATTCATAATTGAAATGTTCAATTTTTAACTTACAGTACTCGATTCGAGATGCTCAATTTGTTCGAAGTGGAATATTGTTAATACCCTCTATTTCGCTAATTATTGTGATTTTTAAAACATTGTATTCAGTTTGAATTGTGCAACACCCTTTATTATGATACTTTTGGAGATTTAATGAGCGGTGATCACCTTGTTTAGATTGATCACAAACTCCATTCTTGTTGTTATTTGAGGACGGATGCATCGTTGTTTCTGTTTTTGACCTATGCCTCTAGAATCTTAAGCTACTTTATTGTTTAAAAAGAAGTTATAAAGATGATTTGGCTGATAGTTGGAAAGGCAACTGTTGAAAGGAGAGAAGTTGTCCAAAAGATATGAGGATTTCCTTCTAGTTTGCAAGAAGATGGTTGCGCTGAGTAGGAAAATGCAAGTGTAATTCTTAGAACTTAATACCTTATACACATGTGACGTGTACTTATACAGGCATATTTTGTGTAATGATCTGATTGAGAAACTAATGGCCTTATATTGTGGATTATGGCTTGTCGTGTTAGTTAGTAATAGTGAGTTGTCTGGGATCCGATTCTCCAAGTTATCCAAATAGAGGATCATTTTGTGCTGATCCAGTCCAAACTAGGTTGCAACTTCGAAGAAGCATTGAGGAATAAGACGTTTAGAAACTCTATTCTAGACATGTTGATAGACCAATTTTCTAGAGTAGTGCAAGTTAATTGAATGTTTCAGATCAAATGAGGAAGCATTAGATTTGACAATTGCAGGTTCACATTGGCAAAATTAAGAGTTGGGATTTCTCCGGCTTGTATAAAGAGAGTATACCACATAGTATATTAGCTATTTCCACAACAAACGGCCTTGGATATGTTGTGGGTAGGTTGGCGACCCCCTCTCATGCTCTTTTCTTTGGGAGAGATTATATGTTGATCCCTTAAATAGGATGCAAACCTAAAAGCATACTTGAGGGTTTTGAAACTAAGACACTCTACTCTAGCCATTGTATGATCACTTGTAGACCTGTCCGACAAACCATTATCTATGAGAAGTGCGAGTCTATCAATTGCAGGCTAAATTGGGAAGGAGTTGGAATATAAGGGTTTTGTGTTGGTTGTCTATAGAGTGTTTTAGTATTCCAGCTAGTTTCGACTTTCTACCACTGGTGGTTTTAAGATATAATCGGCTGGGGACCTCTCTTTACATCTAAAGATGCAGCTAAAAGTTATGCCGGGTGAAAATACAGTAAGTAATAATAGCCCCTTTTGCCCTTTTCTCTTTTTTTTTTTTACCATAATATCCTAATTTTCTGTAGACAGTTGCAGTGATTAATTGTTAAATTGTCATGAGCTCTCTCTACAATAATTAATGATGATGCTGTTTACACCATGTGGCTACTGGGAATGAGAAATGTGTCCCTGCTGACCTTGCCATAGAAAGTGTTCTTGAGCAGCCTTCCATTGAAAAAGATTATTTTTTAAAATTTTTTTTAACCTTTTTTAGGGAGTCCATTAGGATAGGTTGTTATGTTGAGGTTTTCTGTCAACCTAAAGAGAGAAAGAAATATAAGAAAAGTGTTATAATTAAAGGCGCATTACCAAATTTGACTTGAGACCGGGAGTCGTTGGCCTTGTGATTCAAAGAATTACCTCCTCTGGCCTTGCATTCTGTGTGTCTTCTCGCACCCTTCAGTTCGTCTTCCTTACTTCCTTGCTTTGCTGTTTGGATGATTTAATGTTCCCCGATCCTTATGTTTTGCATTGTTTTTATAAGACTGTTCTGTTTCCTCTTTTCTCTATTCCTTCATTTTTTTTGTTTATTTAAAACTTAATTTGTGGTGTCTTGCTTCTGTTGATGCACATTTCTCCTCCTTGCTTCATCAACTGAGCTCTTGATACCATTGGCTTCATGGTGCAACTCATATCTTCAAAACTTAAGCTCTTTCTATTTTTTTACGGATGCAATAAACATATGTGAGGTAGTGTCTTTCATAAAGGAACTTTTCATAACAAGTATGTCACTAAGAATTATAAGTAGCTTTTCTTTATCACAGCATACCATATCTTCTGAGTAGTATATATTTAATGTTTTCCAAGATTATGATCCAATAGTCAGAACTGGACCTGTTTCAGACTCATATCCTAAAGAAGTTTTATCATGGCTTTGGTTTTTAAGAATCTCCAATCAAAATTTTATCATCCACTCGAGAATTTCGTTGTAGTTTATGGACCTTGTATAGAATTATAGAAATTTAAGAAAGTATACATATTACCAAAATGGTTCGATAATTGGGTGAGTGGGAATAATTATGTTGGATAATTATAAAGTTAAGGTAGTACCAGGAAGCTAGGTGTGCATCCATCACCAAAACGCCCGAGTCTATTTTACATGCTTTGTAGCTTTTAGGACCTGATAGAACTTGATTTTGCAATGCAATGATGGATTCACTAATTTTCGTCATTTATATGTAACACATGCATTTTTTTTTACCATTATCTTTGGAATACATGTTTATATGCTGGTGCTGAGGCCACACAGAATTGGTAGTACCAGGAATTGGAATACATTTTTTTTTACCGTTAAGGTAGTACCAGGAAGCTAGGTGTGCATCCATCACCAAAATGCCCGAGTCTATTTTACATGCTTTGTAGCTTTTAGGACCTGATAGAACTTGATTTTGCAATGCAATGATGGATTCACTAATTTTCGTCATTTATATGTAACACATGCATTTTTTTTTACCGTTATCTTTGGAATACATGTTTATATGCTGGTGCTGAGGCCACACAGAATTGGTAATTTGTTATTGGTGTTATTAAGAGATAATTAGTACTGCTGCAGCTGAGTTAGACATTTCAGCAAGTAGAAGAGTGAGCTTTGCATTTGACCTTTGTGAGTAGGTGATGGGCAGGGATTAAGTGACCTTGCAAATAAATAATTTATGCCCTCAATGTGGATTTATACTCACTTTTCTTTCACAATTATTTACCTTATATTCTTATGTATTACTGCAGAGTGGGACAACAAGGAAGAAGGCAAGGAGGTGACACAACAGTGGGAAGACGATTGGGATGATGATGATGTCAACGATGACTTCTCTCTGCAACTTAGGAGGGAGCTTGAGAGTAATGTTGCTGAAAAGAAATGAATCAGTTGATGATGGCTGTTGGTTATTTCAATCCATGTATCATCTTTTTCGAAATTTAAGTTGAGGTGCCTTTTATCCCTGTGGTAGTTTTCAAAATACCTTAAACTTTTATTACGGGCATTGTGGAATTCTGCTAATGAAATTGGAGTGGCAGAAGATAGTTGATCACGATAATCTTGTAGTTTAGGAACATAAGCATGTAACATCTATGGACCCTTGTGATTAGTTGAACCTGTTTCCTTCTCGTATTTTTCGGCAGTGTTTGGCTAGGCTCTTGCTTTGCTTTTCAATATTGAAACTTGACCATATGTTTCCTAAAAGTATTGATTTCATTATTTTTAATTGCACTATTCTGGACTTTCACTATTCATACATTCCTTGTTAACCATCTTTTGTATCCAATTTGTTTTAACTTATGTTTCCAAATATCAAATTTTAATTTATGCTTTCCAAATATGAAATTTGATTTTATGATTTTATAACAAAGTGTTTGTTTCTATATTCATGGTCAACTTTAAAATTTTGACCTCAAATTCTCATAAATATATTCAAAATACATTGTTAGTGCACTTGAAAAACTGTTGGGTCATCTCATTGTATAGTTTTATATTATCAAACTAGAATAGTAATCGTGCAATGATGTTTAGTTTAGCTAGCCATATTTGGAAAGCTCTTTTGGTTTGGCAATATGTCACAACTTTAGTTGTAGGTGAGTAGTATTAATAAGGAAAAAATGTAAACAAATATTTTTAGGGTTATAAATATTTGCACACTATTTTTAAAAGTTTAAATAAAGAGGCAATTAACATTAATGAGAGTAAGTAAGTAAATAAATATTTTAAAGGTAGGGTATAATTGTCCAAACACTATTCATAAGAGTTATCTCAAACTTTTTAAAAGGTAGGGATATCCTCCTGCATTCTGTAATTTGCATACTAATTAGTTTATATACCGGACTTTCACTATTTAAAGACGAGGGAGAACTATGTATCATTTTTTATGAAAACATTTAACATCAAACCAAACGGGGCCTAAAAGAAAAATCTGCTCATGCCTCTAGCCGAGTACATCTGAACGTCTATAAAGTCCTCAAATGGGATTTATACAAGGAATTATTAGTTGTATACTTGTATATACTAGTTAAAATTTTGAAATTCAAATACTTGATCATAGCATGCATAATTGCGTACAGTTGCCATACAGAGACATCTTATATGTACAAAGTATCATCAGGTTAATAGTCCTCATCCCAACCAAAAAATTTACAAGCCTGTGATTTTAGAACTAGACATACTATAAGAGAAGTAAGAACAGAGCATGAAAACTATTACTACATACACAAATCAACTGCGACATTGGTTGATGGAGCATTGCATTGCTTCCTGCTCTGTGGCTCTGCCAACAGTCGAGACAACTCTAGGTGACAGCTTGATGACAGTGCAGGTTCGACAAATCGGGCAGAATAGTGATTTGGTGAGCTAAATATCAACACACTGAACATGAAAGTAGTAGTGACAATTAGGCAGACTTCTGCAGTAATCACCAAGCTTGAAACTGTCGAAACAAACAGCACAATCAAGAATTGCAGTATCAGTAGCAGCAGCAGGAGTCCCTTTTTCTGCCACAGAATGTTTGCTGTACTCGAAACATGGCATTTTCTTAAGGTCTTGAAGAGTCAAGCGTGTGCCCTTAATAATAGGGACACCCTCAGCCCCAAAACCTCTGCTAAATGCCATCCCAACAATACAAATATGTATTATTACTGAAATTGCAATTCCCACAAATAACAAGAATACAGATATGATAATCTCCATTAACATAACCTCTCTTGTAAAAACAGGATTTACCAAAACTTTTTTTGAGTATGCTGAGGGGGGGCTCAAATATGATCATTCATGATGGTGATGATAATTGATTATGATCTCTCCTTGTCAAATTTCGCCGAAAATTTGCTTGATTTCTCTTACAATTCTCCAAGACTTGTGAATTTATCATATGCATGCATCATAATTACTGATCTAATTGGTATTTTTGTTTTGTTTTGGTTTTCTAATAAGAATAAAAATGGGAGGATATTGGAAATTTCCTTAAGAAGTGGCTTAATCAAGAGAATTGATGATGGAGGGGTGAAAATGGGAATGATTTAGATGTGATATTCATTGCTAATGACATAATTTGTAGGAAGAGTAGAAATCTAAAAGGTATTCCATTTGATGTGGAACTAAATTATTCTTTATTTGGTGCTTATATATTCTTACTACACTAATTTGAAATTACCTAGACCTGTTTTTAATGATGGTGTGAATAATTAATTTATTAAGTACCACGGTCCAAGTAGTATCCAAGAGTCCAAGACCTACAAGTTTACTTGTAAAAACCTATAATAATTGATATATTTCACTCGTTTTGATCCACAATATAATATCAGTTTTAATTTGATCAATTACATTTTACTAAAAGCGAAACTTGAGGGATACTTGGCAACATAATGTAGAAAGTTTTCTCTCCAAAATCACTTACTAAAAAAACTTATTGTTATATAAAAATAAGGGTTTTATCTAAATTATGTCCTTTTCTTTGTACAAAATCTAAATTAAACTTCCTTAAATATCAAATTGCCCAAAATAACTATTACAAGTTTAATTATTTTCTTTCACATATACTTCATAATTTTTAATACTAATTCTATTATTTATAATATTTTATATCAAATTTTTTGGTAAAATTTATTGTCATTGTAATTTATAACAACTGTGCATTGCACAGGGTTTAATCTAGTTTATAAAATTTATTGTTATGGAAATTTATAACAATGGTGCAATGCACGGGGTTTAATCTAGTTTAGAATAATTATAGGGATAACAACGTTAAGCTGGTAGATGAATCTTATAATTAGTTTATATACTCTATCACATCCCCTCATATGAGAGCCCGAGGTCACTACTCGGCCTAGTCACGTGCCGTGCGCCACTTGCTTACTATTCGTCGTAAGACGAGTCATACTTTCTCCCTTGGCACTTAATTGAAAGAGCAGAAAAGGGGGGGGGGGGGTTATATTGATGGTAGTAACAATTAGTATATTTATATGCACAACCGTAAAAAATAAAAACGATAAGAAGATAATGATTTACCGAGGTTTAGTTCAACCTAGAGCTTATTACCTTTGTGCCCTAATTACTCTTATTAACCAACTCAGAGAGCAAAAACAATTACAATGATTGTTCATGTCCTCTCTACCCTAATTACTCTTATTAATCAACTCAGGAAAACAAAAACAATCACAATGATTGTTCATTTAACTCTTGTTTAGGGTAAAAATACCCAGTCCATGTGGACCAATCGTGTGCTGACACTTGTCAACCCCAGAGGGGTCCTAAGAGAACCAATCCTCTAGTGACACGTGGCACTCTAACCCATGAAAGGGGAACTGATCCCCTTACACTATAAATAGAGGAAAATCCTTATTTATTGCATTCATAAATATACACAAAAAACCCGAGCAATATTAATTGTAGAATTCCCTCGGAATCCGAGAGAAAAACCTTTACATTCCGCACTTTTATACATCCGGACATGTTCTAACTTGATCGTCGAAAGCGGAACTCCACCCAACTGGAGTTTCCGTGGTTTTGCAGGTACAGACGGTTGACGCGCATTCTTGGAATTGTAACTCTCTCGAGGGACTCTAAAAACCCCAAAACATTTGGCGCCGTCTGTGGGGAGAGTACTTCTAAGATGGCATCTAAAGAATCTGTACCGCTTGATGAAGGCAAACGGCCTACGGTCGAAGCCCAGGTCCACACAGACCAAGATAGTAGTGATGACCTTAAAGTCGACACCTATGTGGCCTCAGACGGGTCATTCAGAACAAGACGCACCCATTCCAAGGAAATAAGGGAACGGGGCGAAGACAAAGCTGGTCCAAGCAACCCAACCGTCCAGTCGGCTGGGCGACCCCAGGTGGCGGAGGGTGCTGCTCCCGTTACAAGAGACGAACTCATGAAATTCATGACGAGTTTCAAAGGGGAAATCAAGGACCTTATAGACAAGTCAACTGGCACCAACAGGGGTCAGTCGGCCAAGAAGCCTTCTCCCTCAGGGAAGAAGCATGTAAAGGATTGTGTGCTTACTCCTCACCCTAAACCAAAGGGGACGGATGGGCCCATGATCGACCTTTCAAAGCTCCGTTTCTCTAAATCAGGGAAAAGGAAGGCCATCCAGCAAGTTCAGTCAGATGGATCAAAAAGGACTTACTTAGATACCCGGATGTTAATCCAGCAGAAGAGAAGTCAACAGTTGTCTGAGTCGGTCTCAACGTCGACTTACCCAGACAGTTTCCAGAATACTTCAATGAAGTATTCGGAAACAAACCGAGAGAGTCAGTCACGCGGCTTATCCGCACGTACTGGCCCTCAGATTAACCAGCCGGCTCCGTATGTGCCCCAACAGCCATATATGCCATATGGATCACCATACATGCAGCCGATCCTCTTTGGGGTCAGGCGGCACAACATGTCCAGCCAATGGACTGGCAGCTCCGGCTGCTAAACCTTGGGGAACAGCCGTCGCCGTTCTCCAGGGAGATAACCGAGGCGGCTCAGCCGACCAAGGTTAAGAACGTGTTGGTTGGTACCTATGACGGTACCACCAACCCGGAAGATTTCCTAATGGCTTATACCAACCTCATGTACTTACAGGGGTTGGATGACGCCGCCTGGTGCCGATGCTTCCCGGTGACATGTAAGGGCATAGCCCAACGATGGTTTGGCAATCTGCCAGCCGGTTGCATCAATAACTTCAAGACGCTTGCATACTTGTTCGCGTCCAACTTCTCTATAAAGATCAGCAGGGAGATAGAGAAGGGCTGAGGTCCAACTTCAAGTCTTGACTTGGGAGCTATTTCAGCAGGGAGATAGAGAAGGGCTGAGGTCCTACGTCAGGCGGTTCAATCTGATGAGAATTCAGATTCAAGGGTTGTCTGACGAAGTTTCCTACACAGACTTCTTCAAGGGTCTGAAGGACGGGTCGATCTTTAAGTTCGACCTGGTCAGAAAGAGGGTTGCTACCCTCCAAGAAGCATTGATGGAAGCCGAAGCCTATATACATGCGACAGAGCTATGTGCCATCAAGCAGCCGTCGGGCCCTAAAAAGTTCGACAAAAAACAAAACCGGTCTACTCAGCCGGCTAAAAAAGAAGAGAGCAAGAAAAGAAAAGAAGTCTGGGTGGCGGATCATTCTAATCAGCCGTCCCAGAGGAAAAAGAAAGTTGAAGCCGTACGTCCCCAAATACAAATTCAACAAGGACTGTTCCTCCATCCTCATGGAGATTAAAGACCGGTTGACCATTGAGAAACCGGCTGCAATGAAAAGTCCCATCAAAAGCCGGGACAAGAGCAAGTACTATCATTTCCATGAGGATATAAGCCATGACACCAATGGCTGCTATAGCCTCAGGCGGTTATTGGATCGTCTGGCTGGTGAGGGGGCTTTGAAGTCCTATATTCTGAAGTCCAAGGGTAATCCCTGAAAGGAATGGTGTCCTTCCAACAAGTGTATTATTCTGATAGAGGGTTCAGAATTATCAGAAAGATAATTCTACAGTGAGATCAAGTGATCGGAATGCCTGGCTGGAGGCCGCTTCCGATCTGTAATATTAGTGAACAATTAATATTACAGCTTTGTCTCGACTGAACCCTTCGGGTCGAACCCAAACGAAATGCGATCCGAACCGACAAATCAATCCGAAGGATTTGATGAGTCACTAGAGTATTACCAACATAGACGTCGGATATCGAGCCTAGGGCGTCGAGACCGAGCGTCGCAAAATCAACAAGCAACAAGTTCGAGCATAGCGTAGCATCACAATGGCCTAGCCATGTGGACGCTAGGCTAGCTCGAGCTAGCATGCACTTTGCACGGCTAGGTGCAAGCCTAGGCGCACCATGTGTGTGCTAGGCGCACCATGCGTGCTAGGCGCACAAGGCAGCACCATCGCTAGCACTAGGTGTTTGCGTGTGTGCGTGCCTCGCATGGCAGCACCATCGCAGCAGCGTGCTTGCGTGTGTGCGTGCCTTCGCATGGCACAGCACCACCGCAGCATGCGTGCTTGCTTGCCTAGGTTCTATCGCAAGCCCTCGCACAACCTACGCATAGCACAACACTATCGCATGGCTAGGCCTGTGTGTGTGTGCGTGTGCGTGCAGGGCCATGGCAGCAGCAGCACGCTGTGCTTGCTTGCTTGCGTGCGTGCCTTCGCATGGCAGCACCAAGCAGCAAGCAACAAGCAGCATGCTAGCAGCCTCGTACAGCAGCACCATGCCAGGCATCGCCCAGCGCCCAGCAGCCAGCAGCATGCGTGGCTCGCTAGCAGCACGCTTGTGCTAGCTATGCTGGCTGGTGCGTGCTTGCCATGCTAGCTGTGCACAGGATGGTAGTGCTAGCTGAGCAGCAAGGTGGGCTGCTAGCTCACTCCTTTGCTTGAAGTCAGTTTTAGGAGAGTGGGGACCAAGGCTTAGAGCCATGCCTTGGGGAGCGAGGCAATGGTCCCCCCATGGTCATGGTCCTCATCTAACCTCTCCTCTCCTTATGCCACTTGTTGATTTGTGGTTGTAATGTTTTATAATTTGTTTTGGAATTAAATAAATTAGTAGAAAATGCAACTATCCCACATTGATCATGAATGGGAAGAGCAATTTGCATTTCCCTATAAATACCCCATGATTGGGCATTTAGGAAGAAAACTTGAGTGGAACTCAAAATGGCATGTCTATTATTGAGAAAACCTTTAAGTTCGTAAAACTCTAGTTTTATACTT